AGCATCTATCGTTTAAAAGTAGTTCTTATACACTACTTGTTAATAGTTTTAGAGTTTATAACTTATTGCAGAAATAGCATCTGTCATTTAAAAATAATTCTTATATACTCTTGCCAATAGGCTTAGAGTTTATTATTTTTTGCTAGTAAAACAACTTTCTTTAATACCTAAAATTTTTATACAAGCAGTTTTTTTATTCTCTTACTACTTTCTAATTTTTCAAAATTTTCAATAAAAAGTAAACAAAATAGCTTACTCTTTCTAAAAAATTGGTATTGTTTACTCTTATCTAATTTGAACATACTTAGTAGAATACAATTATATATTTGTTTTGTTAATTAACATAGTATTACAATATAGGGTTGGATTTAGTGCTCTATTTAGAAAATATCTGATATCGGTTATATATTTAAAAAGAGCTCTAAATATTAAGATAAAGCTTTATAGTAGAAATATATTAAAAGTTGCAACCTAGTATATAATTTTTTAGCTTTGCACAAGTTATAATAGTGCATTTATCTTATTTATATATCAGATTTTTCTTTTTTTCTTTTGTTTTTTTTTATCTTTATTTTTTATATTTAGATTATTTGTTTAAATTGCATAGTTTATTACTTTTTTTGTTTTATTTCCTTTTTTTTTTCTTTTTATCTTTTTTCTTTCTTGTTTAAGTCTTTATTATTTTTGTTTTATCATAAAAATAGTTTGGAAAAATCTTTCTGCCAAGATCTAGGTAGAAAAAATTTAAAGAAAAAAAGATAATCATAACAGGTTACAGAATTTAGTTAATAATTTTCTTGAAAAACTAATAGATCTAATCAAGCATTAAAATGAATTCTGTCTTGCAGGTTGCATATAAATACCTATAGTAACTAAATAAATTATACTTTAATTATAAAATACATAGTATCAAAAACAGTATAGTATTTGTATATGTAACTATTTTTCTTTTTAATAAAATATAGCATAACTACTTATAAAAAAAAATAAATAAATAAACTTACATTATAATATTGTATTAAACAAAATTTAAACACTTTCATAAAACTTTTTTATCAAAGTAAAAGTATTTAAATTTAATTTTATATTGTTTTTGATTGTGCTATTTGATTGGATAAAAATCACAAGATTGTCAAATTCAGAAAATGGTTATATTATTTGATGTTTTTATATATTTTGGCCAATTAGAGAGATGTTATCCTATAATTGTAATATATATAATTTTTAGAATATTACTAACTATAACTAGTAGTGACTATTACCAGAGTGCTTATATAATAAAACTTCTCTAAGTGCATGCCCTTAGAACCAGGCTATAGCATGTATTTAGAAAGGGTGTATATTTATAAAATTAGTATTTTTTCTACTCTACTATAGCAATTAACAGTATTGCAAGTCTTTCCGATAATCATGCTTGTCTTTTGTGTTTATTTTTTATCTATCTTCTAAAAATATCCAACAAAATTACTATTCCAATTGGTAGAATGTTTATATCGGTCACATGTATACATTTATAAAAAGTGCATATATAGGTCCGGGTTATAAAAACCTGTGCATATGCAGAGGTTGGAGGGTGCATTTAGCATTAAGTTCCAAGCTTGAGACCGGCTATAGTGCGCACTTAAAGAGGGTGTGCACTTAAAAGGGGTGTGCACTTAGGGAGGTTTTACTGTATATTATATATATAAAAAAAAAATTCTAAAACTGCACCCTAATCCTAAAAATATCTATGGGCGGTGACAATCACCACCGGTTATTTGTAGTAAAACTCTAATTTTTAATAAAAAATTTTTTTATAAATAAATTTTTGTTAATAAGTATATCAAACCCGAAATTCATAAACTTTTAAACCAACCCCAAACTAAACCTAAACATGCTCTAAAAAGTTCAACTCATTTTTATAATAGGTTTAATTTGGGTTTGGTTTAAATTTCAAACTAAACCCAATCTTAACCTAAGTTTGGTTCGGTTCTGGTACATAGAAACACTAATTAAATATATATATAAATACCAGATATTTGCATCAGCTTTGTCCCATAAATACTAGAAAAAATATTAGCTATATACTTGCTATATATATAAAATTTCAAAATCCAATTGGTTAGTTCTAAGCCACTTTTTGTTATGGGCCCCAAATATTGTTGAATCTCACAAAACTGGTATGCATAATAAAAAATTTTATAATGTCTGACTATTGCTGTATTGATTAAACGGGTTTGGTGAATCAATCATTTATCAGATTTAGCAAGATCAATTTCGGGAAATTTAGTATTATAAGATTGATTTTATTCATGGGATATTAAGTAATAGAATTAGTTAACCTTTAGTGAAATAAATAAGAGTTATGCCAATTTAAATAATTCTAAAACGTCAAAATCTTAAGCAGATTACAACTTAAAACAATCACAAAAATATTAAACCCATAATTAAATTATTAAAAATTCCTATTAAAAATATATTTAAAAATCAATCAATAGATTAAGCATTGTATTTACACATCAGTTGGAGGTATAAATATTACGAATACGGTTAGCTTACCAGGCATGAGACATATATTTTTGCACAGCTATCAAAGCATTGTATCGAACTTCCGGATCTTCGTGAGTCATTAATTCCATAACTCTTTGTTTTGCACCAATTTCCTGTAAGATTCTAAAAGAAAATATATATTATAAAACCATTCGTCATTAAAAACTGATGAAGTAAGATTACACACTTCTTTCCATCAGGATAGTATTTCACATATTGTCCCAAATCATGCGCAGCAACAGCGAGGACTACATTATCACTGGAAGTACTAAGTAAGCGGGACAAAATTCTATAAAATCAAAGAATAATAAAGTTAACTAATAAAATATAGGTCAAGAAAAAATTTAGAAAAAAAGTATTCAAATACTTCAATAGCTCGTGATTTTTTTCGTTCAATTTTGTGACGTTTTGTTTCCAGAACTGTTCTGATTCATGAGGCGGTGACCATTGAAGCATCCCTGATCGAATTTCAGATGCGTACTCATCAAACGTACTATGTTTACAATATCAGCTAAATTACTAGAATCTAGTCATGAGATAAATGAATAATAATCGTAACCTCGTAACCTACGTCAAACTATGGAAATTTTCTTGAAGTTGGGCCTTTAAAAATTCTATATCTTCCACAATTTCGCTATCTGACCATTTTCTAACCGATAAGTTCTCACAGAAATTTAGTAATTTAGCAACTAACATTGCAGGCAAATTTGCTTCAGGAGCTTTTTCCACCAGATTCTAAATAAATAAAGATTATGATTATAAAAATTGTAAAACATTTTTTATTTTTAACAATACATATAATAGTAATAATACCCTGAAAGTCCTAATAATGATACGAATTATTTTTTCCTTAATAACAGATTTAGCAATGTTTATTAAAGTAGGTATCAGATCATATTTTCTAATAAATTAAAAAAAAAAAACTTCTATTAACATTCGTGATAAGATAAAAAATATATTAGCGATATACTACCTATTGAATTCAACCGCGATATCTCTCTCAAAGGTCAAGAGCCAAAAGCAAAAAATTATTTGATATTGCATCTGTAGTGTAGGATTTTTAACTTTGAGAAAATTGACTAATCTATCATAAACAAAGGAGAGATTATTAACATATAAATCGATAAGATACATTTTAATTAGATTTACTATGTTACTGCAAGTCACTAAAATATGCTTACGTATCTACACCGTGAGGCACCTCCCAGAATTGCAAACGACATGATGGAATTTTCAAAATTGATTCTAATATTTGGACAGTCAGATCGCAAATATTATGATTATTGTTTTTAAGTTTCGAGTTGATCCAACGAAGAAACTCCGTGGTATCAAAAGGAAGAGGTCCGGGTGCTGAGCTGTATTATATTTAATGCATTTATCATACCACTCTATAAGGATTTATGAAACTTCCATGTGCATTTTGCATAAATACTAAAATATGAAAACTGTTTCGTACCATATTAATATAGTCAATATTTTAGCCGAACTCAATTGAATAAATTCATCATCGATACTCAAAATTCTGTAGAATATAAAGTTAGACAATTGAATATCATGCTGTTGAGAGTTGATAACATCACTACTCACTTTAAGAACGGATGATAAGGAAGATCGGGACTTTTGGAAGATAACTTGTGAAAATACGATACTCGTTTCTCATCGTCTAGAAAAGAATGATATGGTAAATTTACAAACGATTCTCTGGGCAAAGAAATGATATTAAATTTTCTAACCGGATAGCATATCATTAATCATGACCAATATATATTGTACCGTATCAGCTCGTTTCAATTTTTCCAAGAGACTTGTATATAACTCTGCATACCTCTCCGCATCCTTCAAATCAATAATGCAAATAGATCAAATACCAATTTAAGATTAAATAGGAGTAAAAATTTCAAGAAAGGTACTCGAAATAAACCTTTTGCATGACCGATCTTAATTGTTCACGACTTTGCTTATCAATACGTTTCAAAAGGTCAAGCTCTTCCACTGTGATTAGTTCAGCTTTTTGATAACCCTAAGATAAAGAAAAGTATGCAATAAAAATGAATTATCGTCTTGCTGAATTTATAAGATACATATTTAGGAGATAGATTCGGGTTGACTTAGAAAATTGAAAAATACCTCCCAAGGAATTGGTCGCGCGCGTATACCCTCTGTAAGCTCATCTAAATATGAATTAGAGACAAACGCCAAAGGGACATCAGGAACTGATTCGTCATATGAATTTGTAGAGGCCATTTTTTTAGCAAGTAAATCCGATCGAAAACGAAAGGAAAAGATGAAAAGAGTGATTTGCAACGATCGTAGATAATCTCCAAATAAAGTGAAATTCGATATAATGATTATGTAATCGATCTCCAGGGGTATCAGTATAAACATTCATCACATCTTGCGTTAGGCGTATTATTACATATCGATATTACAAGATACAGAGATAGCTTTAACAAATGTATAATTCTCGCAATATGGCTTCCACAGCGCTCAAGCGCTTGATGACCGAATACAGAGGTACATTGCTATTTTAAAAATATAAAGCGAATACTAAGTTAATTCCAATTTACTTTTACAGAATTGACTCTGAATGCACCCGAAGGGATAACTGCAGGTACCTTTTTGCTATAATTAAGTTGTCCAAGTTTGTTTAAAGTCTAATCATGAAAAGATCAATTAAAGGACCTATAAACGAGGAATCTTTTTTCGAATGGGAGGCGCTTATAGCGTATGTAATGTCTGCTTGTTTATACAGCAATGTTATTTTATAAACTTAGTTGTTAAAAAATTGAAATTTAAAGAGGTCCTGAAGGAACGCCTTATGAAGGTGGTGTCTTTCCTGCGGTGCTCCGATTCCCTTCTGATTATCCGTTGTCTCCCCCAACAATGAAATTTACATGCGAAATGTTTCATCCTAATGGTATTTATTTATTTATTATTTTTTTTTTTAATCAATCTAACCCATTCAAATATAATCGTCTTAATTGTTATTATAAATACAGTTTATCCGGATGGAATGGTTTGCATATCAATCCTTCATCCACCTGGTGACGATCCAAATATGTATGAAAGCTCTTCTGAGCGTTGGTCACCGGTTCAAAGTGTCGAGAAAATTCTATTAAGTGTTGTTAGCATGTTAGCTGAGCCAAATGATGAAAGTGGTGCCAATATTGAAGCATGTGTAAGTTATTATTATGATTTTTACTTATGTTATTTTTGTTTGGTAAAATTGATCTGGTTTATTTATATTATTAAGAAAATTTGGAGAAACGATCGAGAGGCGTTTAATAAAGTTGTTCGTGATAATGTCAAGAAGACATTGGGATTATGAGCTAGATAATAATATATTGTTGAGTTCTAATAAAAATAATTGGTATGAATAAATAGTTATTACTTACGAATGCTTGTATTTACATTGTGAATTTTTATTTTTTTTAGAATTTGTAAAAAAAAAAAAGAATGATACATGTTCCAAGACGTCAAAAATCTCTATCCTGTAGTATGAAATGTCTTTGTGTTCATTATTTTTTCTTAGTTTAATATAGTTTAATATAGTAATTCTAAGATCTCAAATATCATCCCACATCAGATAAAGAGGCATAGGCCGAGATTCCATTGCACTTTTGAGTCTCAATTTTTGTGGGTTTGTTTCATCATTTTTACATTGTACAAAACCTATGATGAAGTTTTTATAGCCAAAATTTTCTGACAAAAATCTATAAGTTTTGAAGTAGAATCCCATAAACGTTTTTTCTTTTAGAGATGCCTAGTAATAGTGATGACATATATATAATACAATTTAATCCTATTAATTTCTGCTAGATGGCACGCCTAACTGTATCTTAGGCACAATGATTATTAGAAATTTTACGGTACTAGATGGCAAAAGATACCTTTGATCAATCATAGTTGATTAATTCATATATAAATGCACTAAGTGATTTTTAGCTAAATATAAAAATCGTCACTAATTTTGTGGTAAATTATTAAATATTAATTATTATAATTACGAAGACTATTTTTACATTCAAATTCGTATATTTGATCTATCATTGATAACTCGCGATCTAGTAATTCAATTTTGATGAATTTGATACTTTCGAATTTCATAGTGAGAATTCGAATGGTATCAAAATTATCAAGATTGAATTACTAGGTCGCGAGTTATCGATGATACAAATTTGATTAAAATACAAATTTGGTTAACAATGTAAAACTTATATAAATATTAATTCTTCAAACTAGTAAAAGCTGTCAATTAAGCAAAATCGTTTTTAATATCATTTTTGAATTAATTATTAAATAATGAATTGTATATTGTATTTTTAATATTGTATAAGCTGTAATAAAGTTCTTTTCTTAGCTTAATAACTTTATTATAAAAAAGTATATATATAAATTGCAGTAATTTTAAAAATTTTTATAAAATTTACTTGCTTAGTTAATTTTTTTAAATGATAAATTTACTATAACAAGAGTAAATTGTAGTAGTTTTACGTAAAACTTTTACGTATAATAAAACTATATATATATATATATATATATATATATACACATACATATATAACATTAAACTTTTATAAGCTAAAATGATTCATATATTAATTTATTTTTTTAGTAAAAAAAAAACGTTACGTACGTACGTACATACGTACGTATCAGAAGTAACAGTAAAACGACCAAAATATTGATCGTACATGTGAACACAATTCTTCGGTTAAAGCTTAGATCTTGCAAACAAACTATTTTAAAATACATTATAAAAAATAAACCTTTTGTTAATAATGATTTATTGGTTTTCTTAATTCAAAATCTGATTTCTTATACTTTTACGATAGTCTTTGCATTATGAACAAGTATGTTATCATTATATGAATATTTTTTATTAATTTAATTGGTTAATGGTCACGGTCTGATCATCATAAATTAATTTATTACGAATATTCCGATTATATTTCGCTGTTAATTACAAAATCTAGTTTCAAACTTTCACACTTTACAAAAGTTCAAAAGATGCCAAGCCATCAACTGAGCATTAATAGGTTAGAACAAAACATAGCATATCTTGATGACTATTTAGATACACTGGAATCGCTACCAGTAGAGATGCAGCGTAGCTTCACTCTAATGCAACAGCTCGATGCAAAAGCTCAAGAAGAGTTCGATAAGGTCGCTGAAGAATGCGTACAACTAGTACAACAAATAGGTGAGCTTTCATCCGAAGAAAGAACTGAACGACTTAGAAAATTCAGTAAAAGTTTGTCTGCAGCTGGTAAATATGCTGAAGAAAGAGTATCTCTTGCTACCGTAACCTATGACACCGTCGACCGTCATATAAGAAGACTTGACGATGACCTTCAAAAATTTGAAGATGAACAAATGACAGGTCCAGGAAGAATAAGCTCCACAGCAACGGCCAGCTCGTCTCGTGAAGAAAACTCACGGAAACAACTTCAAAAGACTGAAAAAGAAAGGAAGGATGTTAAGGGTGAAAAAAGAGCACAACATAACGGTGAGACTTCGGCCCCTAAGAAACGTAAGACTGCAAAAAATGACGTTGGAACTCCACCTCCTTCAAATTCTAGACATCCCGTCGAGAAAGAACGTGAGAAAACCGTTAAAAATTCGAGAAAAAAAGAAAACGGCAAAAATAGTAAATCTAAACTTGCTGATAAAACTTCTGTAAATGATGATTCACAAACTGTGGCAGATATGCCGATTGATCCAAATGAGCCGCTCTATTGTTATTGCAAGCAAGTTAGTTATGGAGAAATGGTTGCATGTGATAATAGTGAATGTGAGATTGAGTGGTTTCATTTTTCATGCGTCGGTCTCTCGGATCGTCCTAAAGGAAAGTGGTATTGTAATGAGTGCTCGGAGAAGGTGAAACATCGACATCACAGGAAATAATTATTAATTTATGATGAAAATAGCATAGAATTTAATTCAATAAATGTGAGTGCCCAGTGTGAGGCAATCACGTGATTTAATCGCAAGCAAAGAAAGTTTTATGTTTCGTTCGCATGATTACATCGCTTGTAAATAAAAATAGTCATAATAATAATAGTAATTTGTTCTTTTATTGTATAAAAGTTTGTTCTTTTTATTGCATTGTTCGCAAATAAAAAAATGTCTTTTATTGAATAAACTAAAATGGTCTTTGAATCGATATAACTTTTTCGGCAATTTCACAAAAAAATTGTCGGCGAAATCGTGAAACATATTGCATTTGGAAGAATCGACGTCAACTACTAGTGATTCTATAGATCATTTTAGAGGGCCTTCGTTGATTTACAACATATTAAAGATTTAATGACTTTGCTCGGCTTCCTACCATTATATTTTTCGAAGTTTCTTCAATCAAGAACAAAAAGCTGAGGTTGTTAGATCAGCACAATCCGTACAGTTAGTTGCATGCGATAATAAAATGGCATTTTAAATTAATCAGAAGTTTAGAAAAAAACTCTTCCTGCTGATCGCCAAACAAAAACATTTATAATATTATACATACTAGTCTTTGGACTTGCTAATTGATATTCGAGTATCTAAATATGCTACAATCTTCTATGGCCTAATGTCTTTACTCTCAACAATTAAAAAAACAATATGTAGGTAACAAATAAACTCTATCAAGAACTAGTAATCATTTTATCCAAATTAAAAAATTTTACAAACAAAAATATAAAGACTTAATGAATTTAAAAATCAAAATTATTATTACTGTAATATTTTTTTTTTGTTTTTATACAAAACAATAAGAAAAAAATTTATAATCTAGAACTGTATACTATCTGTTATTATTTATAATTATTTATGTTTTTTTTTATATATTAAAATAAAATTTTCCTCAACTTAACAATAAAAATAAAAACAAAATAAAAATAAAATAAAAATAAAAATAAAAAAAAAATAAAAATAAAAAAAAAAAAAAATAAAAAAAAAAAAAAAAAAAAAAAAAAAAAAAAAAAAAA